TTAAAATCAATCAAGAAGCACATAAAATTTCATAGACCTCTGGAGAAGTGCATGATGGCTCCTATTTAACTTTTATATTAATGGAAGCAGAGAGGAGGATGTGTAGATGCCTCTGTTATTGATTTGTAGCTGTGTTTGCATGAAATAGTTCTTTGGATTGTAACTTGTGCCAACATTTGTCAGGTTACAACCACAAATTCTGTGTTTTATTTGAATTCATTATGAGACTGACAGAAAGTTTTGGTGCAGAAAAAGTGAGGTATGGAATAAAATATTTTTGTATGGCACACATTTAAATTCAGGCCCCTTTACTCTAATCCTCCAAAAAAATCGCCTACTTTTTAAGCTCCTGCAAACCCATCAAGTCGTCCATATCATTTAAATCAGAGGCATCAAACTCATTTTCAGTTTGGGTTATATCAAAAATCTGAATGTTCTTAAAGGGCCAGTTGTGCCAGAATGTATTAGTAAAACCAATTACACTGTTAAAATATCAAAAAGTAGCTGTTTGTTTCTGAATTTAATAAGTGTTTCTTAAAATTAAACAATGTTTAACATCTTTTCACGCTGATCAGTCCATCAAGAATTTTTTGATTGTTTTTGTATTTTATTTTTTGAAATCACTAATTTTGTGGTGCCGATGTAGAAATATTTCTAAGGAATTTTTAGCAATATTTGTGCTAATGTATGACTTTAAATGTAACTCTTCAATAATCACCATATCAATCACGGATTATAACTTGACATCAAGCAAAGCTGAGGCAGCAGTCACATAAAGAAAATATTTTTGGCAAATTTTGAGAAAAATTTGCAGTAAAAATCAGGAAACAAAATGTGGGAATCTGTTAATTTTGTGTGAATTTTGGAAATTTGTGAAAAACTGGAGGGACTTGTTGATGTAATTTGGAGTCTAGAGGGCCACATTAGAGAATATATGTATATCAGTACTGTCAACAAAGTCTGACCTTAATGGAAAATTTGTGAAGACTTATCTGAGGTGTTTATTAAATTCCATGCAGGACACACAACACACACAGAATTACATTCTCTGGTCATAGAAACCAAAATTGCTCTTTTTGAGCAACATGCATGGGATTAATTAGGGGAGAAATTTATACTCCACATCATTCTAAGCACACAAATGAAACAGTGGTGGCAGCATCATGCAGAGGGGATGCTTCACTTCCAGGAAGATGCTGATGGTGAGATGGAAAGAGTGAATTATATGGCAGTTCCTTCAGACTAGCAGCAGCAAACACCTGGGGGAACTGCACGCCTGCTGAGGTTACCATACAAACTTCTGTCAGTCAAACACTTCTAAGGTGATGCGATGAAGGTGGAATGTCGGAAAGAGCAGGAGCTTCTTAAAGAGACAGAGGCACAATTTCAAGGCATTAAATTGCTAAATTAAGTCTTGTTTTGTACAACAATTTTTTAACAACTGAATGTAACAGTTACTTGACTGTTCTATCAAATGACGATATGTGGCTGGAAAATGCATAATATTGCCTATTTAAGGAGGCTGAAACACAATGCATGCCACAGTGTTAATTGTTATATGTTTGTTGATCTGGCACATGGAATTCCAATTAATCCCATTCAAGTTTATAGTCATAATGTGAAGATATTTGAAAAGTGTACTTTTTTTTGTATGGCACTGTAATAAAACAAGGTATAAACCCACTACAAAAAGTTTACATAAAGCTATTTTTGCCTTCTCGCTCCATTCACCTTCTGAATTCATCTCTAAAGCTGGGATTGCATCATCATCTCTCACCTCATCATCATCTCTCTTTTCTAAAATCAGCACAACAGCTGGCCAGTCAGAAAGTGTCACCTTTTGCAAAAGAAAACAGAGGAGAAAGTGTTTGCAGATGATCTTCAGTCGCACCCCCGTTGCTCTCCAATGAACTGCTCAACTCCAGATGGGGCTGACTCCTTCGCCTATTAAAGATTTATAGGTGAGTCTGCCATCGCGTCCCTGACCTTCAGTGCTGTAAGCAGGGGCCTGTGCTTTTAAAACGCCAGTAAGTGGGGACTCGAGAGGGCAGGAAGTTGACAAATGACTTTGCTGAATTTGCCAGTCGACAGTTGGCAGGCTGACAGATGCGAGAATGCAATATCATTTGCAGTAATTTTACCTGACCTCACAATGTTCAGCGCGGCTCTGACAGCTGCTGCAAATATCTTGCAGAGCAGAAAACTGTCAGAGAAGCACAGAAAATAATTATTTCTTTTTACACACACCATTTTTAGGTAACACATAGTTTAGTCTCTCTTATATTATACTGGATTTGACTCTATTATTCACTTTTGATATTTCTTTGCCGTTTCCAATCAGAATAAAGAGACTCTTTCACCTATTCCTTCGCCTATTCAATTATCAATTATAAATGTATTATTTAAATAGTACTAATACCTTTTTTGTACATTAATGTACTAAATTCAAGTGTTTTAAAGTAGAATGACACTCACAGACATGCACACATTCATACACAGTGCCTTGGGGTACACAGCAGAAAAAGGCTGGAATCAAACCTACAATTGTTGTATTAAGATATTTAATAGGGTGAAAAGTTAAGAGAAAGAGTCGTATGCTTGTTTAAGAAACTGAACATTGTTTGTGGCATTTTCAACCTGTGTTTTCATACCAACGCTGACCAAAATAAAACATAGAACAGCAGCTGTGACAGTGTGTGTATCGCCAGTAAAAAAAAAAACATCTTAGCAAAAACACTACTGTGATGTGTAAGATCAGTTCTGACAGACGGGGCCTCCAGAGAGAGCAAGCTGCTGTAAGCGAGAGGTGAAAATGGATAAAAAGTCTCTGCAGAACATTTGACTGATGTGCAGCGATTTACAGCACATTTGATATGGACCATTAGGGATGTCTCATGTGAGATGAGCTTTATGTAACCACAGCATAAAAGGCTGGGGGAGGATTTACTGTAGGTGTTGTAAAAGAGGATCCAATCTCTTCTACTGAGTACAGCTCAGTCAGGTGGACAAAGAGCTCTGTGCTGCTTTTGTAGCTTCAAGCTTTGCCTTCTTCTTGTTACCTGTTGATGCTGGAGTCCAGCTGCACACGCCATAAATTCTTTAACCTTTCTATAAACTCCAGGGTTTTTAAAAAATAAGTTTTCTTGCCAAACTGCTCAATCTTTGTCTCATCTAAAACTTTTCTCTCAAATGCATCTGGATTGTCCAACTGACATTTCTGTTGATCCTGAAGGCATTGAGTTTGGATTTATTATCTTTTATTTATTTTTTTAGCAGGAAGTGACTATTCAATGAACTTGAACTAAATTCTGAACAGATACAATAGTTTTCAGTGTTTTAAACATCAGATGACGAGAACTATTAACAACACATAGTTAAATTAAACAAGTACAAACATAAGGCCAGACAATTAATTTTTACAAATCTTCTTTATCTTAACAAGAATTTTTGAAGAATTAGGTTTTTAGATGTGCAAAGCTGGTAGTCATGTGCAGCTGTAATTGTGGCAGTAGGTGGTTTTACAAAGTTATCAGCTCAAAGTGGCCTGAATTGAAATGCATGCCACAAAATGTTTTAAAGTAATATTCCAATATTTGTGGTTTGCAAAATATGAAAATATTTAAGGAGTAAGGGTACTTTTCTGAAACACTGGAAATAAATAAAATCCTGAAATAAAATCACATTCATGATGATTATGTAAACTGCTGAGCTTCTAAATCTGACCTTAAATCTGTCACCCATGAACTATACAGAGGTGTGTAGAGTACACAAAAATTGTACTGAAGTCAGAGCAGCACTACTTAGGTATTATTTTACTCAAGTCAAAGAAAAAAAGTACTTTTTACTGAAGATCTTTCCTAAAAAAAAGCAACTCAAGTACTGAGTAATCTCTAATCTAAGCTTTTTAAATGTCTCCAGACAGAGAAATTTTGCATTATGTGGACATTCTGGTATTTTAAAGATCAATATGAAAATAATTCAAGTAACATAATTTTACAATAACAAAACTAGGCAAAACAACACCAAAAACAAACAAACAAAAAAACATTTTCAAATACAATTCTTTCAATATATAAAACTTAAAAAAAAAAAAAAAGAGCAGTGTTACTTTATAGCAATTTTACTCCGGGAAAAGCAAACAGTTCAGTGTCATAATAATGACTTAGTATTCCTAAAAGTGTGTTTTGCTTTCAAAAGGTTAGTCAGGTAAATGTAACTAGTTAACTAGGAAGTTAATTGTGTATATTATGATTTCAACGTTTCTTTAGGTGCAACCAGAGAACAAAGACACTACGCAAAACATGCATCAGATGATATGCAAATAAAACCCTGAAACCCACTCAGGCCCTTAAACAGCACTTGTCCTGTTTGCTAAGTGTTGTAGACAGTGGCAGGATGTGGCTGCAGAGAGGTGGAAAGTCCAGGGTGAAAGCCAACAGGAGCCTGGGGGCGAGACGCGTCATGTGCTCATGCTCCAGTAAGCTCCGGTTCACCAGAGGTTAAGTGGGTTTTAGCATAACAGAAATATAAGAACAAGCAGTGAAGGAGGGCAGCGCTATGTGACAGCCTCTCATAAATCCTGAATTCTCATTTTGATTTTGAAGCCCGCTCCCGGGCGAGGTTAGTTCCCCAAGACACACAGAGCAAAAACAAACTCTGGTTGCCGCTTCTGAGATGAGGCTGTGCACTGAGTAATCACTCGCTGAGACCCCAGAGACCGCAGGCAGACTCTCTGACTTGTGAGTCCATTTTACCCCTGGATACATGGTTCATGCCACTGACCAGGAGCTCTGCTTCAGCGCCCACACAGCTCTCAGAGGAAGTGACCTCAATACATTCAATAACCCTGCTCACAGGAGCACGGCTGCTGCAGAGGACCACAGACTCTTATCTTAGAGGAGAGGATGCTGCTCAGTTGGAGCAAAATGTCAGGAGAACAAATGTTTTTAAGTTTACACACACAGAAATACAATTTATCACCACAAATATTTATCCAGTAATAATGCTTCAAGTGTTACATTGACACAAGATGTCTTTATTTCTTTTATTCGGATCCACATTAGTTGACGTTCCCTGCATCTACTTCTCCTGAGGTTCACACATTCAACATAAACAGCTAAAAATACAAAACATACATAGATCACTTCAGACGTTCAATATAATGACAAAAATAGACAAATACAAACATAAAACATAGATCAGAACAAATGAATATTACTATAATGAAATGTATAATATGTATAATTATATTGTCTTATATCAATTGTGGGTTTTTCCACATTGTCACCTTCCTAAAATAATTTGCCAGAAAATTGTTTTTGTGATTTGTTTTTGCCTAAATAATTTTTGACAATACAAATGATGTTATTTGTTAACAATAATCACATTTGAAAGAAAAAGAAGAAGCTTAGGCCGTTATTTTGGGAAGGTGACAATATGGGGGTTAAAAAATAAACAATAAATGTAACAGAACATAAGATTAAGATCATTCAGGATCATTGTTTTTCTTGTAAACACCTTCCTGAAGCTGGTCGATATTCACTCTCCTGATGTATCTCCAATACATTTTTCATTTGCTTCAGATAGTGTTTAAATACACAATAACTCCTAGATTTATGGGTGAACCAGAAGATCTGACCAAGATTTGGCAGGAAAACGCTAAAAATAGGACTCGTTTATATAAACTACCCATATTTTTGGCTCCTCTGTGTTATTGTGGTTGTTAAGGAAGCACTGTGAGCTGCAGGAGCTGATCTGCACTGATTACCTGCGCCTCACCCGGAGTTTGCGTGATTGTGTGAGATCTGCTATTTGGCCACTGTGACTGTTGTTTTCCACCGAGATGCTAATCATGCAGCATGTGCCGGAGGCATGATTAAATGTCACACACGCACCCCACCCCTTTGTCTGCTCCCCCTCACTGTGAACAAACCTGGATCACACTCAGCTGGGGGAGACCTGGAGTCTGCACACACAGCTCAGCAGAACAACAGCTCCACCTACAGGTGGAGCCTTGAAAGATGCTCAGTGCGTAAACCGCAGCATCATTCCTACTCCACCTTCCATGGATAGTGTAAACTCAGGAGGGTATGTGAAAAAATGTATGCAATTCAAGGCACTTTAATTGCATTAAAAGAGTTTTAAAAAACTTTTTCAGATTTTGTCTGAATATAACCAAAGTTTTCTGTGTATTTCATTAGTATTACATGGAAAAGACCAACAAACATTTGTGCAGCATTTAGAAAAAACACATAAAAATACTGAAAAAAATTTGCTGATTCTTTTGAGGGCTGAAAGTCTCCAACAGTTCTGTATATCCAGAGACAGACATTTTTCAACATTCGGCTTTGAAAACTGTATCAAGATCAGTTAGATTAGATGGCGATCACCTGTCAATATCATTTTTCAGATATGGCCAAGAATTATTGAATGGATTTAGGTCTGGGCTTTGACTGGGCCATTTTAACACATGAATGTGCTTTGATCTTAACCTACTGTAACTGAGGTGAAATGTTTAGGGCCGCTGAACCTCCAGCTCAATTTGAAGCCTTTTCCAGCCACAGGTTTTCTTCTAAAAGTCCCCTCTTCCTTTTTAATAACATTCCATTGATGTCATAAACATCAATAGATTGTTAATAACATTTTATTCATGTTATTAACCTTATTAGCTGATATGAAACTCATACCAGCATTTAAGAGAATAAGTGTATAGTGAAAGTTATTTCCCTCTTAGCTCTTTATTTATGCAAGTTAGGAGGTGGATGCAGTTTTGGCAAAGCTAATTATTAGATACATGCATGCCCTGTTTATTTCCCACAAATATTATCCTACGGATATGAAACTCATACCATCAGCTCAGAGAACAGGTGTGATTATGCAGAAAAGCTTACATCTTTTGAAACTCTTTATTTATCTGATTTAGCCAGAGATACAGATTTTGGTACAGCAAATTATTAGCCTTCTGTTATTTGTATGCCCCGTTTTTCCATCTCAAAAGATATAATACATACGATCACACCGGTAGCTCAGAGGATATGTTTCATTATGTAGAAAATCTCATATAACACGTTGCCATCCAATATTTCCACCTTGTGTGGGTTTGCAAAGTTTTGTACTAAGCAACAAAACTGGGAAACCTGTAGATTTTGACTTAAATCATTAACAGAAGAAAATGGTTTATGAATGAAATTTAAAACCAAAAAACTTAACAAAATCTAAAATTTCACTACATGCATTTTTGTACATTGTTTAAAAACAAGAGCATCCTCTAAATGATTGTTTAACTTCCAAAACATCAAAGTGCGTCATGTTGCTGAACTTAATGAAGTTTCAGAGGGGTAACAGGTTAATAAAATATGCAGCTTGCTTTTTGGGAACCCAACAAGCCCACCTTTAGTTTTTCCTTCCAGTTGTCCCATAGATGTTTTTTTTAAAGATGATCTATCTCTTTGAAAGAATAAGAAAATTGGCTGCTAAAATGACCCTAATCATGTTTTTTAGAACAAGCATGATTATTTAAGTTGTAATTATTGCAAGACATATTTTAAATCATAATTTTGTTTCAATGCTAAAAATTCCTCCAAAGTGCTGCATGTTGACAACTTTCTCCACAGATCATGTGAAAATAAAGCATCTCCTCCTCCTGTACAACCAAACTCTCATTCTTTTGACATTCACACACTGTGCTGATCCAGGTGTTGGTTTGTTTCCTCCAGTTGTTTCTTCACTTGACTTGGTTCAGGTCGATCTTTTGGGTTCTCAGACAGCAAAGATTTGATTATTCGATACTAAAATGAAAAATAGGAACAATGAACCTTGATTAGTATGAGGTTCCATAAAGTAAGTTTCTGAAATAAGTGCATTTAGTGAATAAATTGGCAAAGACTTAAAAACATAACAACATACCTCAAAGGGAAAAGCCCGTGTAAACTCTTCGGGAAGCGTGTTGTTTCTTGCATCTTTCCAAATCTAATAGTAACAAAGAAGATTTGACATGATAATAGTGAATTAGATCAGTTTGGTAAGACAATAATCCTATATCACATTTTAAAGAAAAATAGTACAAGAGAAAACACACAGTGATTTAATACATTTTAAAATCAGTCTTTTTATGAATGACTAACCTCTGCTTTTTCGTGGCCAGTTGAGATTTTCCAAAGGAGTTCAAAAAAGATCAGACCCAGAGAAAACATGTCCACTTTACGATCATATCTATTACTTTCCTGTTAAAACAATACCAAAAAGTTAATGTGAATTATTTGAGAATTAGCTTGTGCATTGGAATTGGTTTTTTGCACAGCGGGTAAACAGTTATGAGCAGGGATGCATGCAGAAAGATACTAGGTTTTACTAGAACACCTTCTCTTTTTGGTGTGGACAAAAAAAACTGCCCTTCTGAAATTGTTTAATTTATTATTTGACACTGTATATGTGTCGGCAAAGACAACTCAGAATGAACATATCCGCCCAATTTGGTATTTCTTACACTGGTTGCCCATTTCCTTTGGAATTGATTTTAAGACCTTATTTTTAGTTTTTAAATGTCTAATGCCTTTATTTTTTATTCTCTTCTACAATAAAATCAATAATGATGTTAGCTCTAGCACAGTACTTTACTTACTTGTTCAGGAGCCATGTACATTTTGGTTCCTGGTCCTTCTGTTCTGTCGATCAAGATTTCATTTCTGTCAATAGTGACGAGACCAAAGTCCCCAATTTTCACAATCCCATTTTTTCCAAACATTATGTTGGGAGGCTGAGAAGTGAAAAACAAATAAAGTGATTAAAGTGATTATCAAACTTCTTGGATCAAACAACTACAACCTTTATAAAAACTAAAATTACTAAACCACCAACATACTGAAATATAGGCTGATGATAATAGATGCCCCATATATTTATGAGGCATCATATAGATGCCCCATATGTCTATGGGGCATCTATATGTATCTATATGTATATCTATATACATATGGGGGCATATGGGGTATCTATAGGGGCATTGCCTGATGATTTGTGACTTAACATCAGGAAGTTTTTGAAATGGCTCATTTTCAAGACACTAAAGAACCTGAACTTATTGCCAGAAACCATCTGAATGTTTTTTTTTAAGTACTTGGTCTGTTTTTAGAAGCAGACCCAAAAGAAAGTACAAAAATATGCAAGATGTGAATTTTGCTCAACAGGACCCCTTTAAATATTTTGTGTAAAATAAGGACAATATTTTGAAGTTCCATCATTGATTATATGCAGTTTGCTTCAAGCTAAAGAAGTTTCCCAATGAAACTTTCAAGAGAGAAATTGTGGTAAGAGAAAAAAAAAATGAAGGCACAACACAAGCATGGGAGAATCCAATAAAGGAAGGAAGAATTTACCAACCAACCAAACCAGTAGTGTAAAAGCCCGAGCCTCACCTTAAGATCTCTGTGAATGAATTTGTTGGAGTGAATGTATTCGACTCCACTGAGTATTTGCAATGCAATAGGAAGACTGTCTTCTCTTCTCTTTGGGTGTGGTAGTTCCTCCTCATTCTTTGCACCAATCCATTGTTTAAGGGTTTCAGAGCCACATAATTCCATCTTAATGAAGAGGTACTGTCCACATGTGACACTTCCAGGTAATAAAAGGAAAAATTTGATTTTTCTGTCAGTCTGTATGATTAATTCAATTATGTGAAACTAGAGGAGAAAACTTACTGTTTTAGTTTCTTTTGGACTCTCTCTTGTTGCACTTTTGAATCCTCCATCCAAGAGTGGTAGTATCTGACAATGTTTTCATGTTGGAGATCTGATAACACCATCACCTCTCGTAAAGCTTTTCTAAATCAAAATAATACAAATACAACTACCCTCAGTGAAACAATTTCAGTTTGTCTTGAAATCTTTAACCAACGTTTCTGTTTTTGTGCCCTGAGCAGCACCACATACTCACTCTGTTCCAGGAACGATCTTCACTGCATAATCCAGGCCCACCAGTTTTTCCTTCACCTTATAAACACGACCGAACCCTCCTCCACCAAGATATCCAAGGATCTCAAAATCTGATGTGAAGCTTTAGAAATTAAACAAATTGTTTAGACACAAAGAAATGCACTGGTCTTTAATATTTATTAAATTTGGACTTTTAGTGCAATAAAACATTTTTCAATACCTTGACTGCACTGCTGGGTTGCTTATATTTGTGGTTTTCTGGTTGTCCACATTATTCTGGAAAAAAAAATCAATAATGGGAGTATTTTAAAAATAGAAAAGCATTAATTGAGAACATCTGAGTATTTGCACTACTTAGAGAAAAATAGTGCAAATACTACAACTTCAGCCCTTGGTAGCAATGTCTCCTCTTTGATTTGAAACCGCAGTGCTAATGATCTACAAGAGTACATAGAAGTGTCAAGGCACATTTTAGAGGTACAGTTCAAATTTTGGTATATAGCTCTGATAGTGTGTTTATTTTGTATGAATACTGATTTGTTTTTGCAGAAGGCTTAGGATGATCAAAACTTGTATTTCTATCATCCTGAAGCAGTTTCAGCCATGAAAACGTCATACTAATTTCTATAAGATACTTAAAAAGTCTGCAATGTTTATCTTTAAATGTATATTAATAGATAACATATGAGTGTCTACATAAGCATCAAACAAAGCAGTCATGGTTTAACATAAAAGCAAAACCTGGTCCAAAGAATCCACAGGATCAGATGAGCCCGTCATCTCGCTCTGTGAAGGCTCAGAGGAGTCTCTTTAACAAAACATTAATAAAAATTATTGTTTAACAGCGTTCCTATTTAGGTTCTATATTCTACAAGCTGGTTTAATATAAGTAGGTAAGAAGTGTGACCATGAATAAACAGCCATTAACCTGCAGCAGACAGCGGTCACAACCATCTCAGTTTTGATTTCAGATATACGATACTGTTATAAGTGTTTGCTCACCAAATAATTTTTGTATTGAAACATATTTGGGTAAACCTGGCTGTGAAAGGCCCAGGCTGAAAATGACGCTTAAAGCAGGTACGTCCCTCTCTACATGGGGCACCTGTGCACCCCAATTGGCCACAGGGTGACCTGGTAGCCATCAGGAAGGACTGCTTGCTACTGAAGTAAGATAATGACTGGTCATTCATACTCCACACATCCCCACTAAAACAAAACAACACAAAACAATGTGCTCTGTCTTTTTAAGAGGACTTACTGTGACATGGGTGATGGTTCATTTTCTCCAGATCCAGTTTTTCTGGGCATCTAAAATTCACAACAGTAGATCTTTTTTCTTGTTACTGCCTAAAACTTCACACACTTGGTAAGAATGTATTTTCCCAGTAACTACAGTAACCTGCAACCTTCACACTGCTTCACTTTCATTTAAAAATATTTCAATCACAAGCTTCAATATTTTCTCTGTAATTTTATGCCAACCTGTCGAGACAAGTTTTACTCCTTCACTCTGCAAAATAGAAACTACTTTTTCCCACCTAATTTTTTTAAATTCAATGGCCACAGGTTTTTACTCTCAGATATTTACACGTGGACACACTTAGCAAGTTTGTCTCAAAAAGATGACCTGGCTTTGCTTTACAATGTAAATTATTGCATAGTCTTAAGGTATCCTACAGAGAATGGATTACTGCTTTAACTATCACACATTTTAACTATGATAAACAAACCTGGGCGTTGGAAGGGTTTGAGGAATCAGCAAATGTTATTAAATCGCTTGAAGTCGTTTGCATGTTGTGTAATGATGACTCATGTAAATTTCTGAAAAAGAAGACAAAGAGGTATGTCTACATGAGTACAGCCATAACATTCAGCTCTCCAATGTATTCGGCAGTTTTTGTCAGGAAGTGCCTTACAGTGCATCTGATTGTGATGCTGCTGCTGCATCACAATCATCTTCAGATGCTGTTGATCCGACTGACACCTGAAATGCAAAAGAAGAGTTAAGAACATTTTAATTTGCCCTCGGCTTGAACTTGATACTAGCAAAATCTGAACCCTGTCCACCTTGCTGTCATTGTCTGACTGCTCCCGAAGAGCAGACCAGGCCAACTTTGCTGCTTTCTGTTCGGCTTCCTTGATCTTCTTACCCTCAGCGACAGGATATTCCCTTGTCCCAATTTTTAATTTGGAGAAAAATCTGCATTGAAGAAAAAGAATCTTGATATCTGTAAGTTTACTTTAACATCAGTCAGCAATTCAGAAGTAAAGGCAAAACTGGTTCAGTTAAGAAGATTCTTACCGACGGTTATGAGGAGGCCCACTTGTTTCTACAAGTATAAATTCAGGACGACAAAGGTTGTTCTTCTGACAGTAGTTGTGGATAATTTCAACAAAATTTGACTCCGTACAGCTGTTGTCTTCAGTGTTCATACTCAGGCTTTTTGTTTTTTCACTTAAACAAACAAACACAATTTCACATATGTGAAGACATCTAAACTAAACAACAGGGGATAAAACATTATTTTCAAAGTATCGAGACGTTGACTTGGACAATTCAGAGTTGATCAACTAACATTAAAACTTTATCTGAACGTGAACTAAAAACCTATAATCTGAGAAAATCAAAGTGTGGTACTTAGAATTTTAAGCACTTCCAGGTTCTATTCTTTATGTTCCTATTTTACGTTATTTTATATAAGGTATGCATTTCTCTTTATCATTTAACTAAAATGTATTGTGCATTAAATTATTAATTATGCACAGAGGTTTGTGGGAGTTGCACCATGTTGTCCATCCATCCATTGTCTGTTCATCCTTATCCCTATTGGGGTTGGGAGTTGCTGGTGCCTATCTCCAGCTGCATTCTGGGCGAAAGGCGGGGTACACCCTGGACAGGTTGCCAGTCTGTCGCAGGGCAACACAGAAACAAACAGGCCAAACAACCATGCATACACACTCACACCTAGGGAGAATTTGGAAAGACCAATTAACCTAACAGTCATGTTTTTTTGGACTGTGGGAGAAAACCGGAATACCAGGGTCTTTCTGCAAACTCCGTGCAGAAAGACCCTGGGCCAGGAATAAAACCCAGGATCCTCTTGGCTACCAACTGCACCACTGTGCAGCCCTGCACCATGTTGTGACAATGATAATTTATAATTGCAGTGTAGCATTCTGAATTAATCTCCACCCATAATAGATAACCCGCTGTTATTTACTCACCTGAGACCAGTTAAGTTTTTATTGACCATCTGATTTTGATGAACTGGGGAATCTATGACCTTAAAGCAAACATAAGATAATTAACAAGAGGAATGCTGCCTGATAAGTATTAGAAAGTTATTTACATAGAAGTTTGAGGCTAAGTAAACAAACTTATATGGTCTGTATTTTTCTGCAAGGTGTTGAAAAACACAGTCTATTATGTGTATCAGAGAAACTATGTGGTGTCCTACTACAGAATATTTGCATATGGGACTACCCATGCTTGATTAGTGAAAAGTGAATACAAATTAGTGCAAGTGAATTGCTTGTTTCATTATAGATGCTCAACCATCTGACTCCAAATAGATGCATACAAGGATCCACTTTAAAATGCACCAGCATACCTGTGGACCTAAATAGCCCCACAGTATAATGCTGCCACCACCATGCTTGATGGCTGGTACAATGCTATGAGGTGTGAAAGCACAGGATGAATTGATGTTCCATCAACAGAGTGATCTCAAACACGCATCCAAACTACTCTATGAAAGAATAAAACAGGCTGACATTAAACTTCCAGAACTGCTTTTTCCTCTCTCATTATGCTAAAGGGTACAGATTATGGCCATTAGTCACATCTGGGCCAGAAAATCTATTTTAATTATCCCAAAAACTACAAAAAGAAATATGGTAAAATATGAAGTTAGGAGTTTGACATAAGCTTGTTTCTACAATGATGTTATTGACTACAATAACATCAACAAGCTTTTGGAAGCATTTTGGAACAAAATGTTCCAAAAGTGGACATTTAAACAAATATTAGAGGGGCAAATACTGTATGCAAATATTTGAGTGGATGAAAAATACTGTAAATTCAGAAATCAAACCCAATTCTTGTTTCAATTAATCTTCCCAGTGTGGTATTACCATCCCACACAAGGAAAACAACAGTTCTAATGCAAGACATACACAAAACTCCGCACAAAATTTGCATGCTATGATGTTTGCATCAAAATGTCTAATAAACTGTATCACCTTACCTCTGGAGGTTGACTACTATTTATTATGTCGTACACCAACTTGGCAGCTTTCTCCTTTGCTTCTCTCGGAGTTTTTCCAGAGACTTCTGTGTATTCAGTGTCACCCACTATAAACTTACACCATCTAATTCAGCAAATGTATATTTATGAATTTCAAGCGGTTAGTTCATAGCAGAGACAAAACGTGCAGCAATGTGGTAGTCTTACGGAGTTGTATTATGGGGTCCAGGCCGTGTCGTCTCCACTGGTTTTACAGTCACTCTGTTTGTTTGACCGTATTGATTGAGCCAACATATGTAGTTGATGTCATTTTCCCTAGCAGGTGAAGATGTTTCTGCTGAATATTCTGCCTGTCAAGACAACAATTATTCACCATTTAGGGCCTAAATAATTGTTTTGAATTATTGCATGTAGTTCTATTTCGCACAGAAGAGGAATCTTACTGCGTCTTGTTCTTGGTCTCCACAAAGACATCTTATTGCATTCTGGGCTGCGTTCAGCTTGGCATCCTGTTTGCTTTTTCCCACGCCACTAGGGTAGGGCTTGCCATCTATAAGAAATCTCCCGGTGAATCTAAAAAAAAGAAAAAAAATTAAGTCAAACTCTTTCTCCATGTCATTCATTTGTATAATACAATTTTTATCCATAAGATGACAAAATCATCTGTACAACATTTATAAGAAACAAACGTTACACTTTTCTCAAACAGCTTTGCATGTCTGGAAGTTGAGAATTTTGTCCTTTTTTTCTTTACAGTTATGTCAAGCTGAATAAAATTGGATGGGCAACCATTTGTGAACTCCAGTTTTCAAGACTTGCAAAAAATATGTGTATCTCTGCAGCTCCTCCAGAGTTAAAGTGGGGCTCCTGCCTCTGGGATGCACTTATTAATGTTCTCTTGATGTTGACGACCATATTTTGGGAGGTTTTCAACTGTCATATGCCTAACTTCCTGCTTTAAACTTCTCCACAGGGTCTCCCTGCTGTGTGTTCCTTGGTCTTCATGGTGTTGTTTGTTCACTGAAGCTTTCAAACAAACATATGAGGCCTTTATAGATCATATGGATCAAGACTAAGATTTATGTAGATATTTGCTGTTTACTAATCCATTCATTCTGAAGACAGTTGCCCAGTATTTCATTTAGAAGTAATAGATTACACCAGGTTAAATACATGTAGACACCACACATCTCAGATTTATATTATTTCTCTTTCTCTTATAATTTATATTGGTATATCACATAAGCTCTTAATACAATACAGCAGTTTGTGGTCATACATTCGTACTCAAACCCTCCACTGTTTGGCCTCTACTGAATAATCTATCTTTGTGTTTTGGTCTTCTGCTGCTTGAGCTTGTTACACTAATGGAACTGCACCCCATACCTGGAGACAAGGCAGGGACTTAACATGTAAAAGGTAAGAGAAGTAACTAGTTGTTTTCAGTTAGAGTATAGATACATATAACAAACAAGCTCATTTTCAGCAATTAGAGGTAGATGTCATTTGAAACTGAATATTATATAATATTGTTATAAAAGTCTACCTGTTTTGTTTAATCAAAACTCACATAATACAGTGACAAAAACAATTATTAATTAATTTGTGTAATTATGTCAGCACAATTTTGATTAATAACTATTTTCATTATTTATTACATAATGACTGATTTCAGCAGTTCTTATTGCCCAGTTCACGAAACTGTACTTATCATTACCTGTCTTAGTTTCTCTATCAAAGCCCAAATGCGGACTAGCCCAAATGCCCTTCCCACATTTGAAAAGAAAAATATTAACACTTACTGTTTATTATGATCGGGGCCCAAGGAGTTCAGATGTTCATAAGTTACCTTCAGACCACGTTTCTGTCCATACTTGTTGAGATTAGAAATTGCGTTTCCAGCGGCTAAGAGCTCCATCGTAGTCAGTAAACCGCGTCCGGGGTGTCTGGCTGGTCTCTGCTTCAGCTTCAGCCGAGAATCAAGACTCTTTTCGAGCCAGCTGGTTTGTTCTTTTCTAAGTTTCGATTCTAAAATCCAGCGGGGCGAATAGAAACTAAGCATTACGACTTCCGGTAAAAGGCGGTGAAAAGCGGAAGTTCTATCAGTTTATATGGAACAATATCGACGGTTGCAAGAAGTCTAGGAATGTGAAGAAATATAAAAATGATTTGTGTTTAATGCCTCTTTTGTGAATTCTGACTACATTTAGGGCTTCTGCACATATCGAAATTCCATACGTTTACAGACATACGTAATTTCGAAATTTTTCTATCTATCTATCTATCTATCTATCTATCTATCTATCTATCTATCTATCTATCTATCTATCTATCTATCTATCTATCTATCTATCTATCTATCTATCTATCTATCTATCTATCTATCTATCTATCTATCTATCTATCTATCTATCTATCTATCTATCTATCTATCTATCTATCTATCTATCTATCTATGTTTACAGTGAATATCTTGTTCTCAGAACTTTTAAGTTAATAACATTATTTTACAAAGATTGTTTGATTGCATTTCAGTCAGCCTGTTGTTTTATGGGAACCAGAGCAGACATTTAGAAAAAAGTAACAGGAAATATGTTTCAATACCCAGTTCTACTTTTTTTTCTGCTTATCACGACTTGGAAAATATTTTAAAATTATATATTTGACTAAGTGTATTATTTACCAACTGTTCAGCCAATTAAGGTCTGCAATAAGTTTTTTAGACTTATTGGAGTACTGGGTAGGAAACAAAACAAATTCAAGTTTTATCAAAAGTTAAATGCAAGTTTTTTTCACATAATTTCAGATTTTTGAGTATAGATTAAGCACACAGAAGCAGAACAACTCATAAATTCCATATGGTTTAATTTTCCAGTTTGGTCTTTCATTACAATATGAAATGTTGTGATGCAAAATTGAAAAAACTGCCAGAAATAGTATTAAAATGATCTTAAACAAGTTTATATTTAAAACGCCAAAACAAGATCATTTTCTCACAATAATATTTTTGTTAAAAACCTCTACTTATAAAACCAAATCCATTATTTTCTTCCACCAAGTAAAGTGCCAGACACAAAACACCTCATCAGACAGCACACAGTCATGATTAACGGTTATAAATATTACTCAAAATGCAAGAGCTTAATGATTTGATGTGACACTTGGGCCAGTGTTCAGAATTTTGTGTCCACATTTTCTATTGGTGATGCAATAAAAAACAGTAAATCCTGCTACTGTAAACAGAAGTAACATCATCTGAAACATTGCCTGCAAAAAATGTGTTAAAAACTAATTTATATCTGGAGAAGTCTGAGCAGAGCAGAGAGAGATGCGGAGCAGACAGTGAAGGTCATACGTCAGCCAGCTATTCAGAGACTGGTTCATGTTAATGCTTTTCATTTCATATTCATTTTCATTGGCCTCTACATAGCAAAACTAAAGCTCTACTGCAGAAATTACTATTGTTTACAAAGCATATATACAATTAGTAATTCATGCTGTCTCATGAATTAGCTTGTGACACAGCACACACAGGCTGCAGAACTAAAATGAACAAAACTGAAAATTTGCTTTTGTTTTGCAGCAATTACACACTGGAGAGCCAGTGAAAATTAAAAACATGGCTGACTGGCAGATATCTCCCTGGATCCTCACCCTTTGCTCTGCTCAAACCTCTTTAAATAGAGGAGAGCTTCTCTCACATTTTTTGCAAGAAGGGTTTCAAAAATCTGAACTCACTTGTGTCTCTACATACTTGCTTCAAACACCTCAAAAATCTCTTTCTATTAAAGACAGGGCAGATAACCAACTCTTTAATCTTTTCGTGTTGTATGTTAACTGACCCGAAAACATATTGAAACCACAATGAAATTATAACATAATTTGAAAAACAAAATAGAATGAAAATAAAGGAAAGCAGAATAATATTGATGCATTTTAAAAAGAGAACTAGCTACACAAGTGTGACTTTATTTTGGATTGTTTTAAAAGCAGAACCAGCTGAACAAGTGTTCAGATGGTATTTTGGATTGTTTGCGCTTAAACAAAGAAGGCCATGCAAACAGGCTCAAATATATTCATACACTCTTACAAATGCTTGGTTAAATCTCCCTAAGAAAGTTGAACCTCAACCATCTGGTGTTTGTAATCATCAACAAGCTTCTAGTATAAATCTCTGAATATTTGACCTTATCGTATACCAGAAAAGGTGGACTTAATTTAAACTGGTTAGTTTACTGGCACAGCCCTTTGTTGTAAGAGTCATTCCATAATTTTCGATACCGGTAGCTATTAACCTATTTCAAAAGGTTAATGATAGAGCTTTATTACCTTTATCCAAGCCAGTTTTCATTTGTGTGTGGGGTAATTCTTGTCTGGAACATCCAGTTCTGACTACTTGTTGACTTAAAGTTGAGTTATAGAAGAGGAGTCCCCTAGCCAGTCTTCAAGAGCTACCATGCTGAAACTTTTAGATGCACCCCTTCTCGTACACACCTGAATAAAAATGAATAACTTGTTACCCGATCTCTGCAAAGCTCACTGATCTGGCCTACAGGTGCAAAGACGTAGCAAGCAGCGAAACACATTGGAAACGCATAAACAGTGCAAACTTCAAAATGTCAAAAAAAAAAAAAAAAAAAAAAAAACAAATGCAACAGAAAACATTTTACAAAGAAAAATTCTGGCACTTTCTCTTTTGCTTCTATTTTCTATGGTTGCAGCATTTTTTTGTTGAATTTTATTTGGTGTGTTTGTATGTTTTGGAGTTTGCATCGTTCATGTGTTTGCAGCGTGTTTCTTTATTGAGCCACCATAGAATTCAGCCATTTGATCCAGGCGTGCATCTAAAAGTTGCAGGGTAGCAGCTCTTGAAGACTGGACTTGGGCACCCCAAGTCCAAGTATATGGATTTTGTCTTCCATTCTCATTATTGGTGTGTTTAAATATAAAATGTATTAACATAGACCACTAGCATCTGTGCAATAATGTGTGTAAATACCATAAATATTGGTATTTAAACACCGTTAATTACTTTGTAAATTGGTAGATACACCAATTAGATGTATCTACTTTATACACCTAAAGGATAACAGTTTGAGACAGAGGGTCGGACCGAGCTGAATGAACATGTCCCTAACATGTCCCATGAAAACGTGTTTGGAGTGAATAAAGCAGGTGAACAATAAGCTCCTGCAATGACATTGACCATGTCAAAGATTTCTAAACTTAACCAGGTCTGTGCCACGAAACCAAACAGTTTAAATTAATCTCCACTATGTCTGCAAAAATGAATATTCAAATATCCAGACAGTTTTGCCAGAAGTTTGTTGATGGTTACAAAAACTGTGGTTTAGGAATAACTTCCTCAGAGACATTTGACTAAATATTGGAAGGGGTGTATGTATATATTTGAGTCTGTATGATAGTGACTCTGTTTAGATAAAAGAAAATTTAACAATAAAACGTAGGATCTCTAAATAAAATTATATTGAAGTTGTGGTTATATTATCAAATCCACAACAAGAAATACATGATTCAAATAAATCATAAGTATCAGAATGGAAGAGATTCATGCAGATCCAAAGTGTATGTAAACTTCTGACTTGTGATGTATAATGGATCCAGGACGTGTCCATATTGAAGGCACAGATGTGGTTAATTATTTCTACTTCACAATCAGAAAACGTTCTAAGAGTTTAAATTTTACATATTGTGGAACAATTCCTTCCAGTTTCTCTCACATTCTGTTTTTAATCCCTAAACATTTATTTTGCATGAATGTGATTTTGTCATAAAAGCAAATACTATTAAAACACTCGAGTTCAGATTTTCCAGGTTCTTGCATTTCAAATGTACTTAAATCAAATCAATAAGCTCAAGCATTTAGAAATATATTTCATCTTTAAAGCAGTTTCAATGCATAAGTTGAAAAACTTATGAGTCCAACATAACTTGTCACTAAATGAATAATTGATCCTTATCAGGCCTCCAAATGTGTGTGAAGTAATCAGATTACTGTTTTGCTGTCACGTTGCTGGGTTTTAAGCTCTGCAAGCAAACGTTTGTGCTGCTCTAAATCTATTTTTATTTTACTTGCTTCCGGTCGTTCTTCAGGTTTACCACACAGCATTGATTTTATCATTTGGCTCTGAAAAAAAAGAACACAAAAAGAACATGCAGTCATTAGGACTTATATAATAACTAAATTAAAGTCTGTTGTAAAACTTTTATTGTCCTGGTTTATCTGAAACATTATGATTCTTCAAGGTTTCATAAATAAGTTTCTAAAGTGATTACTTGTTTAGTCCTGCATATTATAACTGAATTAATAGTTTGGACCATATGAGGAGGCTTTTGCTCTCAACATATTAGTGGTCAGTTCCTGACCACTGGTCACTTGCTCTATAACTTCCCCCTTTTTGCCCTTTTCCATGTCAATAAAAGCCCTAGTGTCTCAAAATCTACAATTAATATCAATATTTGGGAGTGTTTTTTTTTTATATTGGGCACTTAATGTATTTTTTTTATATTGCTGATAATTTGTCTTATACTATGTGCCAATAGAATAAAAAAATAAAAAAAATGTTTTCTTTGTAATCTACCAAAAATCAGCAGAGTGAAAATTAGACAGTCCATAGATTGAGAGATAGTCAAGTACCTCTTGAGTAAAATGATACAGAAATGGTTGAGGAAGCTTCTGGTTTCTGACATCAGGCCACATCTGGAAATCAAGCAGCAATAAAGGAGAAGAAAACTTTTTAGTCGGGTTAAAATGAACCAGAAGGATCAGCAAAACACTTTTCAAATAACAAAAAAACTCGCAGCTTCCACTGCCGCTATAGTAAATAGTAATTACAGCCTTTTTTTGAGTGATAAGCCTCTGATGTTGTCCTGGTAATGTTTGCAGTAAAGACACTGTTGTTTTTTCTTAAATAGGATCCTAAAAGTTTCACAGTAAAACAAACAAGAAAATAATAAATTAATGTTACAAATATCCAATGTTAAAAATATTTTATTTTTTACATTGATAAGAGTGACTAGGACCTTTTAATTTGTAACGAAAAGTTTCTATTTCCCTGATGTTTAAATATAATGTGACGCTGAGGGCCTGTCTCTCCTCCAAAGATTCTGCGAACCTTGTTCATCGACATGGCATGCTGAAATATTTTAAACATTTGAACATTTTTAATAAAAAGCTGATGGACTCTGCCAAAAACCTGGAAAAGGGTCATCATCATCCAACCCACAGCTCCAACCTAAGAAAGAAATGATTAACAAGATACAAAAACAACCTTACCTTTTCTTTCTCGTGGATAGTGGGTATGTTCCAAAGGAGTTCAAAAAATATAAGACCCAAAGCAAATATGTCCACCTTTCGGTCATAAAGCCTCCGATCCTTCTATTATAAAATGACACAGAATCAGCAAAAGCCATCTTAACCCCTGAACTATTTAAGAGACATTCCTACAGCTGCTGTCACCTGCTCAGGCGCCATGTAGGATGGAGTTCCTTTGTAGCCTCTTCTCTCCTTCTGGTTCTCTGCATCATCTTCAATCTCAGCCGTGACAAGACCAAAGTCTCCGATCTTCACTGTGCCGTTCCGGCTGAACATGATGTTTGCGGGCTAACACGCAGATTCAAGAGGCACAAAAAGACATAGTTCAGAATTATCCCGAATGCACTTATGTAAATTTGATTCCTTGGTTTTCTATTTTTTTCTAAACTTGCAAAAATCTTATGCTTTTTTCTCCACCTTTTTAAGTGAGGTATTTATGTGTGTAGAATTTTAAGAAAAGAGATTGATTTAATACAATTTGGATTAATGCTGTAATATAAAAAATATGAAAAAGGGAATTGCTGTGAATACTTTTCAGATATTCTGTACTACAAAAAAAGAAAACAAATTGAAACCAATAATTTACTAAAACTGGATTAAGTTGCCAACCATTTAGAGCCTACTTCTGCCTACTATTTAGAGTTTTATTTGTAAAACCATGAATAATTTTCCCCTACTTACGTTTTTGCCACTTTGCAAAGCTGTGTCACTGTTTATTTTTTGTTAGTTTCAGGTGAAATCGACCTGCTGCCTCACCTTCAGGTCTCTGTGGATGAGCCGCCTGGAGTGAATGTGCTCGACTCCACTGACCATTTGCACTGTAATATCCACACTCTCTTCTTTTCTCCTGGAGTCTCTGAGGGATTTTTTAGGGTTCTGGATATTTTTCTCATCTATCCAAACCCGCAGTGTTTTAATCTCACATAACTCCATCTGAATGTAGAGATACTTTATAGACAGGTCAATGGAAGACCTGGAGAATAAACAACACAAAGAGGAAATAAACACCAGGTTTGATGAGTGAGACCTCCAGAGAGAAGAGGACTCACTGTGAAGCGCTGCTGCTGTCAGTGGAAGAGTCCCAGCGGTAGGCCGTGTCTTCCAGCCAGCAGGAGTGGTACCGAACGATGTTACAGTGATTCAGCTCCGATAAAACCTTCACCTCCTCCAGAGTTTTTCTAATCCAAAAAAGTACAACAAATAGGGTACTTTCAGAAAACATTGTACCTTGATTTGTGTTTTTAAAGCATATGTTGTGGGGATTTCGCCCCCAAAAACCCACTGTTGTTAAGAAAAAAAATTCTTGACTTACTCTTTGTAGCGCACAATCTTTACAGCGTAAAATTTTCCCTCCAGTTTACGTTTGGCCTTAAAAACACGACCAAAAGCTCCTTTGTCGAGTTGTTCTATGGATTCATAGTCTGTTACAAATCTGCTGAAACTAAAAAGCATGAAAAGTTATTAGTGTGGTTGAACTACATGATAGCATGTCTTATTTACTTTTTAATATTCTAAGAAAAGCAATCTCTCTTTGTGCTTCTTGTAGCAATTAAATTTCCATACCTTGGAACTGTCTGAGTTGGTGATTTCACACTCTGAATATTTCCTTCATGATTGGTTTTGAAATTTACCATATCCTTAATAAAAGCCACAATGCGGGTATGAGTATTTTGAAAAAGAACCACAGATAAAAATTGTTATGGTCAATGCCTTTGTTCTTTACCTCTTTACTGTTGTCTTTGACTTTTGGAAAAAATGCAGCAATTCTGGCAAGAAAAAAAAAAGAACCATTGACATTTGGTGAAAGAAAGTACAGCTTTACAGTAGGGATGATGGCTTACTTTATTTTAGGTTTCACAACTGGACTTATCACCTTTGGAAAAAGCAGAAGAACAATCACTTTATTAAATATGCAAACTTTCAAAATCCATTTCCAAATCCATCTTGATGTTTTACACGTTGGCCAAAATGGTTCAACAAAACACAAAAGCTGCAACTAAATAGTACAAGTCACAATGGCTTATTTTTACTTACAGTGGAAGTAAAAAATAACAGATCTTATATTAACCTACGATGGAAGTTGTGGCCAGTTGGAAGTTATGCTAAAGTGGAACTTTTGTTAATGTCTAATAATAAGCCAAAAACATGAGTATATGAGAAACTACAACGTTTGGGACCTCATCATTAGACTAATAACACCAGTGTAAAGCCCCAAAATCTGACAACCAAAAGGGTATCAGATCTTTGTGCTGCAGCTTTTGTTACTGTGCTCCGTCTTGTGTTGTGACTTCAGTATTTTGTTGAACCATCTGGGCCACTGCAGGTTTTAAGAGCTCAAAACACAAAGCAAAATATGAGCTGGGTAAAAACTGTAATGGATAAACTCGATGCAATATGTTCTGCAAAGGAAAGACAGAAGCAAGAGAAATAAATAACAGACCTTATCTTTGGGTGGGCTTGATGGATCCACAAAAACAATTGATTCGCTTGTTGCTGGTATCACCAGGGATGATTTTGTGTCCCTAAGAATTGGAAGAGATGCACGATTAGTGTCGTGTTCAACTATAAGTGTAACCATCTGCTGTACAGCTCAGTCAGAACAGCATAACACTTTCATCATAAAGCATTTGCAAATTTGAATTGTTTAAGAATTGTTTAAGTACAGTTGTTTTTTCTAGTATCTTTGACAAAAGGTGGTAGCTGCCTTACAGTGTGCTTGTTGGAGGGGACTGCTTGGCTTGTGTGCAATCATCAGACCCAGCTACCTGAAAACACAAAGAACCCAAATGTTACTTTTTCATATAATATGAGCAGACCAAAAAAACAAAAATTTTGAATTTTTAAAAAGAAATGTTGGCCAACTAAAATGTATTTCCATGAAATGTGTAGTAAATGCTGGTTTTTAGCTCCTTTTGCATCAATTACTGTGTTAGTGAAGCATGGATGAGATCAGCTTGTAGATCTTGTGAAATATTAAGCAACCCCAGATTGCTTTAAAAGTGGCCTTTAATTCGTCTGTAATGTTGGTTATGTTATCTCTCCTTTCCTTTTGATGGTACCACATAGATTCTCTATCAAGGGTAGATCAGATAAGTTTGCCAGCCCCTAACCTCCCAAATGGATGTTCCTTCACAGTCCTCTCAAAGCTATGGCTGTCCCTATTCCTTGTGCACATTTGTCTACAAATTGTTTTCCTGCTACTAAACTTTCTGTGAATATTCTTGCATGCGGCATTCTGTGCTTATTTAGAAATGACCTTTTTAAAACCATAGCGATTCAAATGAACTGAAATAAATTCCTTAAGTATAGTACTCTGTATGTAATATAACTGTGAAATAAATGGATGAAGTTTTCAGTTATATTTTAATTTATTTAGATGCACCAGAACTAGATCTGACATTAAAAAAGGTTAAGTATTGGTACCTTGCTGTCCCAGTCTGACCGCTCCTTCAGTGTAGACCAGGCCAATCGAGCTGCATTCTGTTTGGCATCCTTGGCCTTCTTGCCTTCACCAACGGAGTACTGCACATTGTTAATCAATAACTTGTAGGAAAATCTGTAATGACCAAAAGGAAAAGATTAATAAGCAAAGCGTTTATTGGTCTGTTGATATGTATTCAGCTTAAAGAAGTTCACTTATGCTCACATTGGGTTATGAGAGGGGCCACTTCTTTTCTCTTCTACAAATGCACAGGTGCTCCTTGTTTTCTGACAGTAATAATTGACCAGTCCAATGAAGTTTGTTTCTGTGAGGATGCTGTCTTCAGACTGTAGGCTCAACCGCTTGGCATGATTACTGAAAGACAAAATATTATAACTATTAACACATTTTACAGTCCCTCCACAAAGTTGAAACTATTAACTAGTAGGAAGGCTATTAACTCATCAATTGTATACTTTGACTTGCAATTTTCACCAATCATCTCAACTTTCCTGCAAATATGACTAATCACCTTTACGTTTTATGTATTTCCCTCTTTTCTAACCAATCACAGCAACCTGGCTGAATTTTGACCAATCCCCTTAGCCATCTTGAAATTGAACTTCCCCACGACATAAATTTATTTGTATCAAGGATGCTATTTCAGAAAAGTACTTGACAATATTATTTGCATTTCACTTATTAACCATGTTTAAATCGTATCTTTTTTGTGAAGATAAAATTTGTAAGATCATGGCACGGTATAAATAAAGCTTTAAAAAATAAGCTATTTTCTATAAAAGGTGTTGCATTTTAGGTCATTTTAGGCCGCAACAAAACAAAAACCATTGCATCATTCTAGAACCATCACAGGGGAAAGCATCAGGCTCACCTGATATCTGAGACAACTTCCTCATAAGGCAGACTTGATGTGCCGCTGTCTCGATCATTTCCAGTCTGCAAAACAGACAAAAACATACAATCAGAAACAAACATTTAAATTGAATCCAGGAATCAGATATCTTAGGATAAAATGATAATAAACTTATGTATCTCACTACTTACATCTAAGGTTTCGTTGCCTAATATCTCATGATGCACCAGCCTGGCAGCTTCCTCCCTGGCTTCCTTCTTGGTTTTCCCAAAAGCAGCTGGAAACTCCTTGTCTCCCACCACAAACCTACAACACCTGATGCCGTCATGAGAAGAACACTTTTATATAACTCGTACTACTGAATTCACACCTGTAGAAGTAACTGGATGTTGCAAGGAGACCTACTGAAATAAACTATTGGGTCCAGGTGTGATTTTCTCCACAGCCCTTATCATGAGCTTGTTACTTTGTCCATATTCATTCAGCCAACTCATGTAATTAGTTTTCACCTGAACCTGAGGAGAAGAAACTTCTGCAACACTTCCTGTCTGTCAGGACAAAAAAAAAAGAACATGTTAGTACTTCACATCGATGCAAAAAGTGAAATGTGCATTGATTCAATAATTCTTACAGAAACTGAAGTTTCATCTAATAAGTGTATCAAGGCATTTTTAGCAGCACTCTGTTTGGCTTCTTTCTTGTTCTTCCCCACACCTTCAGGGTAAGGCTTTCCATTCACAACAGCTTTTAAAGTAAACCTGCAAGAGATTCAGAAGAACTGCATTAGTCGCTTTAAGAATGTGATTGAATAGTTTGACAAGAAGAACGTGTGCATGTGCAAGCAGGTGTCTCTGTGTTGCAAAGTTTGTACAGAAATTGTATGGATATGTATGGATCAACAAATTATCTTTCAATAATCTCTTTCTTCTTGCACACTCTTCAATGAATACTGTAGTTGTCCTTCAGACACGTTCTTCCATGAGAGCTGTGCATCTCGGCAGCTCCTCCAGAGTTACCATAGGGTCTCTTAGACGCTACCGATGAAAACCATGTCTTTGTAGGGCTGCATCTGTTCCAACCTCTCACTGTTTTCAGAACACAGCTGTTGAGTCAAACTTGGGAATATAGTTCTATAATTTAACCCACACATTTTTCCTTGATCTGACTGCTGTGTTCCTAGGTCTTCATGATGTTATTTCTGCACTGACGTTACTGTACATCATGCATGTTTTCATAAAGATGAGTGGCTTACTAAAACGATACAACACACCCTGAGACGCAGGGAGAAGAAAACTTCCAGAATGAGGTAAAAATAAAAATCCCACCAACTCACGTTCTAATGTGGTCAGGTCCAACACATCCAACTTCCTCATACTTCAGCTCCAGTCGCTCTTTTTGTGCGTATTCGTTCAGCCTGGCTATGTAGTTTACAGAATCCATTTTGAATAAGATTAGCTTCCGAAGTGCAATAAAATATGAGAAAACACAGTCCTAGCCCGGTAAAACTCCTCTGGTTTCATATCAGCGCTGCTTCCACGACAGAGACGTAAGTTTCGATTTCATCTGAAACGTCACCCGTGGCGCCTTCAAGTCCAGTCTGAAATATCAATTCCTATGGAGTTTAATGCATTCACTATTTTAATTTAAAAAATCTAACTTTTAAAGTCACCTTTACATTTCGAATGATTGAAATATTTAAAAAGCGACCGAAGAGTTTGCAAAAGAATGAAAATAGATTAATGTATCAATCACTTTTGACACGTGGAAGATATTTATTAGCCTTTTTATTTTTTACTAAGGTATTTGTATTACCTTAGTAAAAATATGTTTGTGGCTTTTGTAAATCATGAATGCGGACGCCACACAGCAAAAAGGAAGTAAAAAAAATTAATTCGGTAGGAATTCACAACGGTTCCAGCTGTTTAGATATGTAGTTCGAAACGCCAAAGGAATACTTAGTATAATAAAAATACACAAAAACAGTCATGAAAAGGAGATAATAATAATGATTTACAGACGCGCTCAGTACAATGAGTTTTAGGGGAAAGAAATACTAAAAGCAGAAATAATTATGTATTTTTAAAAATGTCAACAATATGACCTCTTTCTAAGTAACTCAAATTCAACAACAATTTTTGAACATCACAAAACCCAATATCATCAACACAAGATTTCTAAAAAATAATACTCTCATTATAGCTGCTTTTGAAACACATGAAAGAGATTCCTCCATCATTTAAAAAAATGAAATGCAATTTTATCACATTTTTGAAGAAAAAAACAGACATAAAAACTGACAGTAGATTTAAACAATGAATGAACATTTCACAAATTACCACTAATATCAAATTCAGTTGCTGTTGATTCCTATTTGCACTGTAACATTATCTTTATTTATTAGTCAAATATATTTTAAGAAACAAATATATGTTGCTGTTTTTTCAAGAAGGAAGCTGCGAATCAGAATCATTCGTGATCTGCTGCTGTATCTCCTGGACAATTCGAAGCCAAGTCCTCCTCATCTGTAGAAAGTTAGCATATGCATGAACAAAAGAGCATAAAATAGATAGAAATCTTATGATGGTTTCACCCTTACCATTATATGTGGTTCCACACCATAAGCAGTAAAAATGGACTCCTCTTAAATAGGATGTAATAATTTGCAACTTATCAGAGGGCTGTAAGAGAGACCAAAACACCTGATGGTAAATTTAACAGCAAACACATTAATGACATTAGCATGGAACATATATTTCATATCTTAATATTGTTTAGTAAAATTAATATCTTTTTTGGTAACAGTGGGGTTTTACACTGTTGTGAGAAGTGTATATCCTAAAATAAATACCAACATTTAGCTCTGGAATTTCTTCCTCTTCGTCCTCCTCTTCAACAGGATCTTCCTCATCATCAACATCATCTTTGGGCCAATACCAGGGTTCCCTGGGAGCAGTTATGCCCTGAGACAAAAAATATACCTCATATCTAAGAAGAAAGCTAACACAACAATGAAGAATCACTTAAAGAGTTAGTCAAAATGATAATGAGATTTTTCTTCAAAAAGTATTTTCCCCTTTTTTTAAAATGTATTCTCACATTATAGTATCTAAAATGAGGGCTGACCAAGATCAGAGAAACAACCAAGAGGAGCTGTTTCCACAGCTCAGGTGGAAACAGCTTTCAAAAGTACAATCTCCAAATCTGACCTTTGTGGCAAAATGAAAACTTGCGTTTCAAGTTGTAAGAACTTTCTTTAGAAGTTTGTCACAATTCACGCCAGGAAAGACTAAATTTCAACTTTTTGACCTACTTACAACAGGATATTACAACAAAACACCATTGTGATGGTGGGACTTGGTGGAGGAAGCATTATGGTGTAAAAAATGCTGCTCTTCAACAGGGAAAGAGATTTGTCTGACTTATTTATCTGATGGTTGGAGCTAAATAAAGGGGAATCCAGAAAGAAAGCTTTTTCAGAGGCTGCAAAACACTAGAAACTGGGATGGAGATTTAACTTCTTGTATGACAACATCCCTCAAGATGCAGGCAGAGCTGTAATTACACGATTAGGTCAAAGCATAAGCATATAATTCACTGTAATGTGACAAAATGTTAAATGACTTTTTTGTGAGAAACTTTATACTCAGATTTCTTCTAACCTTCTGATTGTCAAGTTGCTCGCAAGACCGCTGACTCCTCCTCAGGTCTCCTTCAATCTTCCGCTCTTCTCTCTCTGTTCTGACTCTTGACCTGAAGTGCGTTGCAAACACAGACAATAAAACAGCTCTACTGCAAGCAAGAACGCTCCTCAGGGACATCTCAAATGCTCTTGCAAGCTTCACCTAAAATCCTCCAGAGACCTGGCCTCGTTCTGTTGTTTGGCTCGAACTTTCTGCCGATAATGGTGGAGTTCCTCCTCAGCTTTTCTTTTTTTCATCTCTTCAAGACCAATACCCCCTCTGTCTGATGGATCAGTAACAGAAGCTTTAATAAACAACAAATTGTACTCATCAGCACAATATGATAAAAAATGAACAGCTTACCTGCTTTAATACTTAGAGGAATCGGATCAACCCTTCCTGCTCCTGAAGACACATAAGACTGAAGTGTTACATTTGATTCAAGAGCCTGATCTTGATTAAAGACAAAATTATTACAAAAGATTATACTTACCCTCTTTTCCAAGGCCTTGGCCAGCTTTGTAACCCATCTTTTGAAGAAGTGCAAAGCCCTTGTTCTGACTGCTGATGGAGCTCTGTAAAGCTGCTTCTCTGCTTTCCTTCTCCTGCTCCTTGTAGCTCTTCTGACGGTTCTGGATATTCTTCTCCTTTTGCTTTTCCTCCTTTCTGATGGCTTCCTTCACACTCCTCACCATGTTGACTCCTGGCTTCACATCCTGACTGCAAACAGGAAAAACATGGAGAACAGAATCTTTTTGCAGATAATTTCTCTATTAATATTTTCAATGAGCATGAGGGGTGCTTACTTTCGCTAGGTTTGTAGCAAAAGAGAATGTAAAATATTTTTGTACTTATAGGAGCCACAAATTTTCACCCAAGAGAGATGTTACTTCAAAATAATATTACTCAAATAAAAGTAAAACGTATGGTACAAAGTTTTTCTTAAACTTACTTATGTAAATGGAAGTAGTCACTTCTTTCTCCAACAGAATTACTCAAGTAAGATGCTGATTTAAATATTATATTCAGCACCTGACAAACAGGCAGATTTTTCTACATTCAGCTAAAATTCCAGGGATGATAAAGTTATAAATTATTTTATACCTATATTATTTTGACCACAACTGCTTTGTTGAAACCTGTTAAGTTTACGTTTTAAAATGAAGGTAATCAATTAAATTCAATAAAGAAATACTTCATTAATTCTATATTTATAATTTGTATACTGCTGAAAATTTCTATCATCACATAATTTACAATATCTTGCTAGGTAGCTAAATATCTTCGTTATTTCGATACAAACATAAACTGCTTACATTTTACTGAGGAATGCATCCGACATATAATCTTCTTCCTCGTCCGACATTGCGAATTCCAGAAAAAATGTAGCACAAATAAAAATAAAGAGAGATTCGGCTTAAATAAATGCTCGCTGGTTATTTTTATTGCTCCGCCTATGTTTGGTTCGTTTGTAGAAAATGTCCGACCATCTACAAGGAACCCACGTGTCAATAGTTCCGACATTTAAAACACATAATTATAAAAACTATTAATTAATACACATCATATAGAATTAAAGTTTATTACAAAGCAAATGTTTTAAAACTTTCTTGTCAATTGCGCGAATATTTAGCAGTTCTGTTGGTTGTAGTAGTTTCCCACCGGAAGTACTTGTTTGCAACGCCGCTGATATTTTGTCGTCATTCATCCTGGATCATCTAAACACAGGTAGTTTTTGTATTTTATCGACATTTAGCTTAAATTCTAGGGTGCTGTTGTTGATGTCGTGTTTTATAGGATGTCTGGGAGTTGTGATAGACTTCAGAAAACAGCGTAAAGCCCCGGTTAACGCCGTGTTGCCGGAGTTCAGCTTGTTCCTCATAGGTATCAGCTAACTAGCTGGTTGCTACAAACAGCTAAAAACTGTCAGCGGCTGTCAAAGCACAAAACAACCCAAAAAATAATGTGTTACTACTTCTAAGCTTTACTTTTATGAAGCACAGACCCCATGTAAATGAATTTAAGTGTCCGAGAAATGATAGACATTTTGAGCTCTTTTGACCGGATTATTTGTTTATAGACTGTTCAGATCAGTTTATATGATGCCAAATCAACGTAATCTCAAGGTTGAACAAGACAAAAAATTTAGTGCAGGACATACATGAACAAATTTCGTTAAATTCAATCGAATTCATCACAACATGATGCAGTCACACCAAGAATCATATGGAATTAAAAAAAATTAACTAGTTATAATGCAGTTCAAAGTCAGGGGATCCTATGAAGCCAATTTGTAAGAAATCATCACAGGAAGACCAGTAGATTGCATTGAATCACTTATTTTATAGAAATTCCTCATCCTTAACATACATGTGGCAACAGAGGAGAGAAACCACTACCTTTTAACAGGAACCTCCTGTGGAACAAGATTCAAACTGAGCTGCTGCAAGCAGCGAGGTGTTGAAAGAGCAAGAAGCAGACATAGGAGAAAAAGAGAGAAGCTCTGGGTCAGAAGTTCTCCTTATGGAAAAAGAAACACAGTAAGGCTTAGTACGCCAGCAAAATATACAATATGGAAAACCGTTGAATGTTGCGATGACGATGTGACATTCCACTGGAGTGTTGGCATGGGCCAGTATGAGAACTACCAAAGCTTTATGCTATTACTGTATTTACATCAAGGTCTCCAACTAAAAAAGTGCAAAAATAATCGAATTGGTTTTTTCAAAAAATTAAAAGCTGCAACTAAAATACTGACCCAGTCACACCCACTGATGCAGACTGGTTGGCAACTTGGTGGTAAAGGTCTTTGCTAGGGGCACATTGACTGTTGTAAGAAGAAACAAATTACTTTCT